TTCGTACTTCATAAAACTTCACAGTTATTGGCTATCCCACAGATTCTGTAGTCATTTGCATTTATGCATTTAGCAGATGACTTACAAAAGAGATTTTTCCAAGCTGAAACTTTCTTATCTACCCATAGGAAATGAGATCTCCTAAATATTAAGTGTTCCTCCGACCTAGACAGCAACGAAATTCAATTTGAGAACAATTGGAGACATTTGCATGAGTTCTCAGATGTTTCTCCTGATAAAAAAGACCAAAGTAATTTCACATACATGTGTCGAAATCTAAAATGACTCAAACTGCTCAGATTTAAGTCTGTAATTAAATGTGAGTTCTTTCAAAATTCTTTCAAGACCAAATGATTTGATCAGTTTTATTTTTTCTTAATCTTATCTATTAGCTTTTACTCACAACAAGCGGAAGATCATGTGCTAATAAAGCTAATAGAGCAAATAAATTGTTCAAAAGTTTGGGATCGGTAAGATTTTGAATGTTTTTGAAAAAAAAAAAAAGTCTCTTCTGCTCACCAAGGCTGCATATTTATTTGATCAAAAATACAGTAAAAACAGTAATATGGTGAGATATTATTGCAATCTAAAATATATAGTAAAGTGTAATTTATTCCTGTAATCAAAGCTGGATTTTCAGCATCATTACTCCAGTCTTCAGTGTCACATGACCCTTCAGAAATCACTCTAATATGAGGATCTGATGCTCAAGAAACATTTCTGATTATTATTACCAATGCTGAAAAAAGTTTGATATTTTTGTGGAAACTGATACCTTTTATTTTTCAAAATTCTTTGATGAATAGAAGGTTTAAACGAACAGCATTTATTTGAAATATAATCTTTTATTTTGTGTTTATTTTAATTCCTTTCTGTGTAAAGCACGCTGAATTGCCATAGTGTAGCCTATAAAATGTGCTAAATGCATAGACTCGCCTTGCCTTTTGTAACAGTCACTTTTGATCAATTTAATGCATCCTTGATGAGTAAAAGTATTAATATCTTTAAAGAATGTATACACTCTCTCTCTCTATATATATATATAAAATCCTGATGTTTTTGGAAGACTATAACACATGTTGGACAAGCTGACAGATTCGCTGTTTAACTCTCTCGCCCATTCACTCTCACACAAATATAATTTTCCATGCAGTCCCGTCAACTTTTCCTGTCAGATCCAACTTACTGTTCACAGCTGATCCGTGCTGCACTTTTAAACACCCACAGAGGCACAATTATTCACCGAGGCGTTCACTGCGCTATAAAACTCACAGCAGATACTGACACCTACATGTAGAGCCGATTTCATGACTCCATAAAAAAATAAACAAGATAATAAAATATGATTTGAGCAAACCCCAAAACAAGTACTAAAGTAGGAGAGGTTTGCTGATACTTTTCCTAAGAATTTATTTATTGAAGGAGGCACTCGAGCCATATCTACAGACCAGAATATCAGCAGCACTTGCTCTATAATAAGCTTTTACGCCATCGAACCGTTTCCATTAAAAGTTTAATTGCGTGCTACTAATGAACAACATGTGCGTAGAGTGGCGGGTGCTGGTTTTCTCACAGCGGAGTGAAGTTATTTAAGACACGATCCCAGACGATGGGAAACTCCTACCTTTGTTTTGTCACTTGGATTGACCCCCAGTTCCAGAAGCCTGTCAACGACAGACAGACGATTCTCTCGAACCGCGAGCATCATCAGGCTCAAGCCAGACTCCTGTGGGAGAACGAGGAAATATATCATCAGGAAGCACAGGCAATATTTCTCTGATGCAGTAGTGAGCGTATACTCAGAGCTGAAGTGCATGTGTGCTTTACACAGGAGGGAAATCAATACAAATGCTGAACATACAGATGCAGAAAATATGCTGAGGTTCATTCAAATGCAAGGATTTTATGATAAAGCATTTTGAACACTGCATAAGCACAGAACTGCTACTGTACTGAAGTTATGAAATTAAATATGTGATTGAATAAAAATTATATATAATCATTATTACAGCACTGCAATTACGTAAGATATATTGGTATTTATTATAAAACAGCAAATACCAGAGTAAAGAAAATGCACACTGTAACACAACCAAATAAAATCTCATCTAAAATGTATCTAATATCTCTAAAGGTTGCACCATGAAGCATGATTAGTTAAATGCACAGATTTAACATTATACAGGTCAAAAGTTAGGAAACGTTGCTATTTTTAAAAGTTTTTGAAGTCTCTTTTTATTTGCATTTATTTGATCAAAAATACAGAAAAACGTAAAGTAATATTGGGAAATATTATTAGGCTACCATTTAAAATAGCGGTTTTCTATGTGAATATATAGGCTAGTAAACTGTAATTTATTCCTGTGATTAAAGCTGCATTTTCAGCATCATTACTCCAGTCTTCAGTGTCACATGATCCTTCAGAAATCACTCTAATATGATGATGTTTATGAATATTTAAAAGTCTTGAACCTGTGATACAATATCTTTACTATCACTTTTTAAAATCAATTTAACACATCCTTGCTGACTTTTACTGACCCCAAACTTACCTGAACGGTAGTGTATATTGTTACAAAAGATGTACTTTAAATAAATGCTGTTCTTTTTTACTTTACTCATCAATGAATCCTGAAAAAAGTATCACGGGTTATGCAGCCTTGGTAAGCATAAGACGCTTCTTTCAAAAACATTTTAAATAGTAATCTCTTTTTAAAGCATTCAATAAAAAAAATGTGTAATAAAAAAGGTATGTGCTGTGCATCTCACCTCGTCGAACTGGAAGATGTCCGGATCTCCCTTTTCTAAAGTCTTGAGTTTCTGTTCTAGTGCCATCCATTCTCCCCTGAGGGCCAGAGGCATCAGGCGCTGAAGGGCCCCTGAGACACCAGAGCTTTCTGGCATCATATAAGAGCACTCAATCAACTAAACGAATTAAACAGTACGGGTCTGTAAACACCATAAGAAAAGCATGTCCGTTTTAAAAGATTAAATGAAGACAGATGAGATGTGTAGTGCGCGTGCAGGTGCGGGTCTAACGGTTCCTCCCTCTTGGTAGGAGGTATAAAGCCAACATTACATTCCTCCTCCGACTGTCTGCGGTGGGTTAAAGTTTGCAAACTCCGCCTTCAGTTCCTCCTGTTACCCTGGATTCAGCAAAAAAGACCATTGAAACAAGCCCGCAGCAAAAGCCGAATAATAAGAGCTCAAGCCGCTGGACTTCAGTGTATCCTTCCGAATAAAATAGCACACGTCCTCATTTAACCGTCTAGTGTCGTCGTTTACCTCAGAATCAGCATCCACTTTGATAATGATGATTAGATAATCTCTATTTTAGGGTGAAATCAGGTCCATCTGCGTGGAAAAGTGTTTTTATTTGACCATATCAGGTTTGTTTGGTGTAGAATGGCAAATTTGTCCACACACACACACACACACACACACACACACACACACAGACACAAAGGTTAGCGATACATTTTAATTTTTCAACGGCTCTGGTTTTCAATGAAACGGATGCCTCGAGCGGTACCCACGTGACGTTTTATTTACTTAATTTAATTTAATTAGTTAACTAAGCAGAGTAAATGCATATTTACTTTCATCAAGGCTATTCTTTTCTTGTCAGAAAAAAACAAAAACATTTTAGAGATATGGGCGGTTTAGATTAGATTTCAGTCTATTATAGGCTATTTTATTTGGTTGTGCTACAGTGTACATTTTTGTTTATATTTATCTAATATTCTATTTCCGTTTTATAATACAAACCAATATATTTCCATACTATTTTTCCACGCGATTTGTTATCAACGGAACAGACGCCGCGAACGGCACCACGTGACATTGCCAATAAGAAATTGCTTAATTAAAATCCAATCAAACGTAATTTTAAAACTACATTTCAACTTATCTTGAGCCAGTTTTTTACTTTAAGTAATTTTTTAACAGTTTTGTCTCTGTAAAACTGTCGCAAAATGCACAAAATAAGTGCAACAAATTCACAAAAGACTGCATATTATAGAGGGTATGCGCATGACGTCACCGTCGGCCGGAGTGAATGCGGTCACGCCCACAAGTGGCAAAAAGACTGAGCGGCAGCATTTGTTTTCAGCGTGAATGCCGTGAAAATCACACAAAACACATCTAAAACGGGAAAGAGCTTTGCGATTGACTGTACAACTAGATTTGACCAGAAATCTGAGGTACTGTATATTTTTACAGACTGCAAAAAGCTACAGACCAGACTATATTCTGCATAATTGGATGTTTTTAAATAAACACTGACAAAAAACTATACAAGTTTTAGGGCTGGACGATATGATGATATACAGTATAACATTAATGTAAGTGATCACTCGGATTTAGACCTATCTATATTGTATTTATATAAAACGTTTACAGGCAAATTGTCTTCATTTATTTCCCCGGCGTCGAAATCAGGCACATATAAATGTCAGGAAACACGATTCCTGGCAGCATGTCAATATCCATGGATCACTGGATCTTTGATAAGTTGTAAGGAACACTATATCGAGTCCAACTTTTAGTTTAAACTGATAATAGTTTGTTTTACTCGCGTTTTCGCAGTTTCCCCTATTAACTCCAGTCACGCAGCAGCTCTTCTGCCACTCAGTCCCGCTGAGGGGGGCGTGTTCCGGCGGGGAAGTGACGTTAATGCATTCCCTCTAGTCTATACAGTCATTTAAATATAATTGAACAAGTTATGTTTGCATTTACACGGCTTGAACCAGCAGATGTCATCAAAGTGCTGAGTTTAGATTAACCTCGCTTCTCCTAGCACTACTTGCATCTCCTCAATGTGTTATTAATAACACTGCTCATTTTTATAATTTCATAATATAGGTAATCTAATACAATATATTTGTATTATCATTACTACTATTATGAATCATATTAATAGCCCCAATGAAGTCAGATAATTTGGAGAAGAATGTATAAATCGTGCCTTTGATTCGTTAGGTGTATTAAACGAAGACTTTTAGCACCAAGTCTGGAGACTTTTATTATATAAATCACCGAGAACCGGAAGTCCGCGACTATCTGGTCTGTTTACATCAGCCACTGCTGAATCCACGTGAATGTGAGTACGTATTTAAATTTAATTTCATGAAGTTATTAAATCTGCGACGTGACATATAGTTAAGTTTAGTTTAGTCGATAGATGACAATTCGTGCATGACAATATTCAATCCATTGAGATGCATAAATGGAGCAATATACTCCAGTATTATCTTCCAAGGTTATTCTTTTCTTGACAGAAATATATATATATGTTTTGTTTTTTTTGACATTTCAGACAGTGACAACAGTGGAAATATAATATACCATACTTCAATTTAACCTATTTTAAAATATTTTTTATATATATATTAGCGTATTCTCTACATTTTTATATAACTTTGGGATCTGCTTTTAAACTATACATCTATAATGTTAAGGCATTTACATATTAGTACAGTAGTATAAAAGCAGTGGACATTGGTTCACACACACAAAACAAATATGTGTTTTTTATGTGTATACATAAATATACACAAATATACACATATTTATGAATATATGTATGTTAAGTATGTTAAGTTTTCACCTTTCAGTCTACTTGTTATGCTGAAAAAATTATATTAAATTAAAAAAGCAAAATTGAAACATTTTCATGCTGTTTTATCCTGATGTTTTACTATGATATGAGACATGAAATCAGGCGGCAGTAATGGTAATAATGAACTTCTTCTCTTTTTGTCTTTTGCAGTGGAGATGTGATGTAGCCTCGATCTTCCCAGAACAGGTTTGGTCACAATGTCCCTGAGATGCTGTCAGAAGACGTTACTGAGACATTCTCTGTCCAGCGTGAAGAGCTGCGTGTGTTTGAGCTCCGCCAAAAGACACTCGAGTCGAGCGGCTCCGAGTCGCAGGAGGGTGGTGATCACCGGCATCGGTCTCGTCTCGCCCCTCGGAACGGGAAGTGCTCTGCCTTGGCAGCGTCTGATTGGTGGAGAAAGTGGTCTGGTTGCTCTGGACTCAGAGGAGTATCAAACAGTGCCGTGTAAGGTGGCGGCTCGCGTGCCGAGAGGAGATAAACCTGGAGATTTCAACGAAGAGAGGTTTGTATCCAAAGGAGAGATAAACAGCATGTCTCCAGCCACGGTTATGGCCCTCGGTGCCGCCCAACTGGCTCTGGAGGATTGTGGGTGGTTTCCCAGAAGCCCTGAGGAGCAGCTGAACACCGGAGTGGCGGTCGGTATGGGAATGGTGTCTCTGGAGGAAATCGCGCGGACGGCCTCGGCCTTTCAGACGCGCGGCTATAGCAAGGTCAGCACGTTTTTCACACAGGACTTTGTGGGAATTTAATTTAGTTTAGTTGATTGAGTAATTAAGGATGGCAATCAATGCATGACCACATTTAAGGCATAATGCTGAGTAAATAAACCTTGATATTTAGCTTGAAAGCATATTGTCAGCATTAAAATATTTCACATTTAATTTTATGTTAATATTTGTGCTGTCAAGTCGATTAATTGCATCTAAAATAAAAGTTTGTAAATATATGTGTGTGAGTGTGTGTGTGTGTGTGTGTGTGTGTGTGTTTGAGAGTGAGTTTTTGTGTGTGTGTCTGAGTGTGTTTGAGAGTGAGTGTTTGTGTTTTGAGAGTGTGTGTCTGTCAGTGTGTGGGAGTATGTGTGTGCTAGAGAGTGTGTGTGTGTGGTGTGTGTGTGTTTGAGAGTGAGTGTCTGTGAGTGTGTGTGAGAGTGAGTTTTTGTTTGTGAGTGTTGTGTGTTTGTGAGTATGTGTGTGTCTAACAGTGTGTGGGAGTATGTGTGTGCTAGAGAGTGTGTTTGTGTGTGTGTCTGAGTGTGTGTGTGTTTGAGAGTGAGTGTCTGTGTCTGTGAGTGTGTGTGAGTGAGTTTTTGTTTGTGAGTGAGTGTTGTGTGTTTGTGAGTATGTGTGTGTCTGTCAGTGTGTGGGAGTGTGTGTGTGTGCTAGAGAGTGTGTGTGTGTGTGAGTGAGTTTGTGTGTGTGTCTGAGTGTGTGTGTGGTGTGTGTGTTTGAGAGTGAGTGTGTGTGAGAGTGAGTTTTTGTTTGAGAGTGAGTGTTGTGTGTTTGTGAGTATGTGTGTGTCTGTCAGTGTGTGGGAGTATGTGTGCTAGAGAGTGTGTGTGTGTGTGTGTGTGTGTGTGTGTGTAATGTATATATTATAGACACCACTATTTAATATATATTTAATTGACAATTCAAAACAATACAGCCAATCTATACTCCATATAAACCTTTTTTATTTCAAGGTCAGCCCGTTTTTCGTCCCCCGCATCCTGGTCAACATGGCCGCCGGGCACATAAGCATCAAACACAAACTAAAGGGTCCAAATCACGCCGTTTCCACCGCATGCACGACGGGGGCTCATGCTATCGGGGACGCGGCCCGTTTCATCGCTCACGGTGATGCTACGGTGATGCTAGCCGGCGGGACGGAGGCCTGCGTTAGCCCGCTAGCCATAGCCGGCTTCGCTCGGGCTCGGGCCCTCAGCACCAACTGGAACCAGGAGCCCAGACTCGCCTCACGCCCGTTTCATCCGGACAGAGAGGGGTTTGTGATGGGAGAAGGGGCGGCCGTGCTCGTTTTAGAGGAGTACGCACACGCCGAGCAGAGAGGAGCGCGGGTCTACGCTGAGGTCATGGGTTACGGCCTCTCTGGAGACGCCAGTCACATCACTGCACCGACCGCAGATGGAGACGGAGCCTTTCGGTAATACCTTTCAGCATGCAAATAAACACTTTTTTGTAATCTAGAATTTTTACGTAGCATAACATAGCATAACATAGCATAACATAGCAAAGCATAGCATAACAGCATAGCATAATAACAGCATAGCATAACAGCATAGCATAACATAACATAGCATAACATTGCATAACAATATAACCTAGCATAGCAAACCATAACAGCATAGCATATAACATAGCATATTATAGCATAGTGACTTTTAGGATGGGGGAGTACACAGATGAGATGATGGAGACTCTGCACTAAATGCTTAGATATCATCCAGTGCTGATCCTAAAATATGCAGTACCGCTCATTCGGTCTAACCCAAACGTTCTGCTGTATTTCAGGTGCATGTCGGCTGCTCTGCGTGACGCTGGTGTGAGCGCTTCAGACGTGACGTACATCAACGCCCACGCCACCTCCACACCGCTGGGAGACGCCGCGGAGAACGCAGCCGTTAAGAGGCTGTTTCAGACGCACGCGCACTCGCTAGCGGTGTCGTCCACTAAAGGAGCCACAGGGCACCTGTTGGGGGCCGCCGGGGCGCTGGAGGCGGCGTTCACTGCCCTCGCGTGCCGCTACGCTACCCTGCCGCCCACCCTCAACCTGGACCGCACCGAGCCGGAGTTCGACATGAACTATGTGCCCTGCACAGCGCAGCCCTGGAGCGCTAGCGGACGCAGAGTCGCGCTCAGCAACTCATTCGGCTTCGGCGGAACAAACGCTTCTCTGTGTCTCGCGAGCGTGTGATTCGTTACAGTTCTGCGGATCTCACTTGATCAGATCCAGATCTGCATGTCAATCAGAACATTGATCCATACTAGCATACTGTACACTATTTTAATACTATGCTGTGTACATACAAACAATAGAGTTGATTTGTTGTCACATGACCTCATCGAGTTGCTTTTTTAATTAAATGTATTTAATTGAATTAAATAAGTGTGCTTAAGAACTTTGTGTTTATTTAATTTAGTTTAGTTGATTAATGGCCACATTTAATGCATAATGCTGAGTAAATAAACCTCTATATTTTGATTCTTTCAAGGTTATTCTGTGCTTGAAAGCATATTGTCAGCATTAAAATATTGTACATTTAATTTTATGGTAATATTAGTGCTGTCAAGTTGATTAATTGCTTCTAAAATAAAAGTAAGTGTGTGTGTGTTTGAGAGTGATTGTGTCTGTGTGTGTGTGAGAGAGAGAGAGAGTGAGTTTGTGTGTGTGTTTGAGTGCGTGTGTGAGTGTCTGTGTGTTTGAGAGTGAGATTCTCTATGTGTGTGTGTGTGTGAGAGAGAGTGTGAGTGTGTCTATGAGGGTATGTGTGAGTGTGTGTCTGTCAGGGTGTGTGCTAGAGTGAGTGTGTCTGTGTTTTAGAGATGGTGCGTGTGTGTGTACGAGTGTCTGTGTGAGTATGTGTATATATTACTATGTAATATATATTTAATAGACAATTCAAAACAATACAGACAATCTATACTCCATATAAACCTATTTTAAACACATTTTCTATATAAAAACAAATATTTCATATATTAATTGCTTTAATATAAAGCTTCGTCACACCAGCCAGCAGTCTTGCACTAGTGGGACTGGGACACCCCGTTACTATAGCAACAGCCGTGTCAACATTAAAGGGTCCGACGTGACAACCAGATCACGTCACGTCTCCTAGCAACTCCCAAATAAACTACGAAAAACCTCGTCGGTGTCGCTGCTGGAGATTAATCGGATCGGACGCGACTATTAACGAGTCATAAAATACCTTAGTTCTCATAACTGATGTATAAGTTTATTTAGTGTTTGTCAGGCGGAACCCGAGATCTGGAGCGCAGCGATCCAGCCGGACGCGTTCAAAGCAGAATAAACAGTGTATGGTGTGATTTTATTTAAATTAAAGCTGCAGGATTATGTTCAAAAACACATTCCAGAGCGGATTCCTGTCCATCCTCTACAGTATCGGCAGCAAACCTCTGCAGATCTGGGACAAGAAGGTGAGCACACGCCGGAACTGATGATGATGCTAGATGGGCTGAGCGAGCTCTGTGTGGCTAATGGACAGCTAACGTTAACTTACACACAAGACATTTAGGCTGTAATTAAAGTTATCATTTACATTTAATCTAAAGTAGTTTAGAACATTAGGACCTGGATAACATTATGCACATTCTCGCAAAAAGTACTGTGGTATTATTACCATGGTAAAATTATGGGTTTTGAACATGACCATAATGATTCTGTTGTGGCATTTTTTGAAGTAACGTTACCATTGAGTAACTTGTAAATACCGTAGTAAGTTATATGAATATGATAATCATATTTGATAATTTGTGTTTAAACACACATACACACACAGACTCACAACACTCATATAACGTACACAGACACACACACTCTCAGACTCAAAATGCTCAAACACATATCAAGTTAAACTAAATTAAATGATACATTTTTAATATTATGTTATATGTATGTGTACTATGTATAGATTATATATTCAGTTTGAATAAACTAAAGGATAGAACGTTTTATGTAGATGTGAATTATGCATTTTGCATTAACTCAATAAATTAACATGTCCCTGCAGGTCAGAAACGGACACATCAAACGCATCACAGACAATGACATCCAGTCTCTGGTGCTGGAGGTGGAGGGAACGAACGTCAGGTGTGTGTGTGTGTGTGTGTGTCCATCCGTCTGTCTGATCACATGATCCTCGTGATCCTCCTGACCCGTGTGTTTCTCTCCACAGCACCACCTACATCACGTGTCCCGCAGACCCCAAGAAAACCCTCGGCATCAAACTGCCCTTCCTCGTCATGATCATCAAGAACCTCAAGAAGTATTTCACATTCGAAGTTCAGGTAGGGTCTCGATAATATTACAATTCATCCCCCAAAGAATGAACCAGCACATATGACAGAAGTGTCGTGCCAGGTGCTGGATGATAAGAACGTGCGGCGGAGGTTCAGGGCGAGTAACTATCAGAGCACGACCCGCGTGAAGCCCTTCATCTGTACGATGCCCATGAGGCTCGACGACGGCTGGAACCAGATCCAGTTCAACCTGTCAGACTTCACCCGCCGAGCGTACGGCACCAACTACATCGAGACCCTGAGAGTGCAGGTGAGCTCATCCAAACACACGCAGCTCACATTCACATAGAGAAAATAACCAATTGTATCTGTTTTAGGACTAATACAGTGCAGGTGAGCTCATGAAAACACATTTCACCTCTAAATCAAGAGGAACAAAATAAGAAATTGTATCTTTTTTTTTAGAACTTATGTTTTTTTTGAACTGTGACATTTTCATGACTATTAAGACTAGACACTTAATTTTTTTCATTTATGACACTGACAGTAAAAAATTGTGTAATACAATATTATATAATGCAACAGTTGGCATACATTTAGCAGTTTAACATATCACCATGATATATAAATTCTTTACAATTTCAATAATGCATCATTTCTTATGCATTTACTTATCTTTTGTATAATGCAAAATTCTTTACAATTTCAATAATACACACTATATGTACATTTTATATATACAATATAAATTGACAGTTGAGCTTATTTGTCTTCAAAATAATATAATTATATTTAATTTATATATATTTATAAATGTTTATTTTGTCAAATCAAAATTGATCAAATAAAGAGCAATAAGGAAAAATAACATTGTATTCACACACACACTCACACACACACACACACACACACACACACACACACACACACACACACACACACACACACACACACACACACACACACACACACACATATATATGCTTCTGTGAAAGAAGATAATGTTAAATGTTTATATTTATTTTGGGGTGAAATATGACTTGGAAATGTTCTTGTTTCTGAGATTCAGCCATTAATATTGAAAGAATGATTAACTCTTCAGTGCCTTTAAAATCTGCCAATACAAAGAGTTTTGTTTATCAGCAAACCGTGATTAGATCTGCTAATGTCGGTCTCAAGCCAATATCAATATATAGATGTAGGATGATTCTGATAAAACGTTATTACCAAAGAAGAGACAAAAGCGAGTTAGCAATAACAGTTTTTCAGTATTAAGTGTGATATTTAAGCAGATATTGCATATGACATTGTGTGTCATATGAGAAAAGCGGGATGATTAACGGGTTCCTCGTGTCTTTCAGATCCACGCGAACTGTCGCATCCGGAGGGTTTACTTCTCTGACCGGCTGTACTCCGAGGACGAGCTCCCCGCTGAATTTAAACTCTATTTACCCGTACAAAACAAAGCAAAGGTGAGCTGCTCAAGTGCAAACTCAACGTTTCTTTCTATACAGTTGTGTATTAATCTTGTGCATCTTCTCCACAGCAGTGAAGGAGCAGAATGGATTCCTTCGTTTTATCTGCACATGTTCATACTGGACGGATTTCTAGTGGCCCAATCTTTTTGTTGTTCTTCAAGTGTTGTTTTGGATCTGTGTGATTGGTTTCCATCTGCTAAATAAATATTTTATATGCACAAAGTGAGGTCTGTTTGATTATGGTCTTCATATTTCATACACAACTAGATATGCTGGTGTTTTAAAAGATTTATTCAACTGGAACATGAGCTGCCACAAGCGCAAAAGGAAAAACATAAAGTGTCTTCGGTTACAAACTTTGGCTTTCACAGGAAAAATCTGTGAATCTCTCAAATGTTTTGTAAAAAGGTCCTTTCAACTTAAAACTGCTCTTCAAACAAATCTGTTCTCACACCATATTGCAACAGTTTCAATGGAATAAAGTGAATTCGCATCATAACCAATGAATTTTGAGTCGAACATAAAAGTGTTATCTAGATCAATAAATTCTTGTCTATGAGATATAAAGAAGATGATATTGATAGAAAGTGTATTAAAACTGATTTTACACCAGGTAAAATAACCCTGCAATCATCAATAATGGGACCAAGCACCATAACAGCAGACTAAAGATATAAAGAATATATAAACCATTATTTACAATAATCGACCAACAGGGCACAAGATCAGGTACTTAGTTTTAAGAAAATAATTGGCAAAAAGCATCCAAAATTGGTTTGGAATTAAAAAAAATCCAAGACTTGATGCAAATTTGTTTGAAAAAGTGACAATTCAGAATAACAGACATGCAACCATGTACATGACCTTGGAAAGATGGGTATTATTGTTTTAAGGAATCTAAAGAGAGGAGAGTCGTGACTTTGGATTTCCAAGGTTATCATGAAAATCATACTGGACGGAAACCGAAATCTCGATGTCTCGACCCCACTGGTGCTTGGCCCCTAATGAACAGAGCAGATAAACCTTAAATCCCATTGATATAATATTCCAGGCAATTAAAATGGCACAAAAATATTTTGGCTTCAACAATTTCTCACATTCATATACCATATTGATGTATAATGTATCATTATGGAAAGTGAAATTGACAGCAAGTATTGAAATCAACATAAAAGCAGTTAAAATGTCATGCATTGTTGAATAAAGTGCAAAGGCTCACATATTCAGTCAATCACACACTAAAGCAACAGCACAAATAGTAAAAAACATTACACTTGTATTGCAGACACAAATGAGTGTCCATCTGAAATGCATTGGGAAAAATAAAAACACCACATTTTTGGCACTTTTGATTTTGTGTCTAGATCAGTAGGAAAATGTCAAGTATGAAACATTAGTGAGAAGTAGGGGTGGAACGGTACACAGAAGTCACGGTTCGGTTCATACCTCGGTTCAGACATCACGGTTCGGTACGATTTCGGTATAATGGAGGGAAAAGCAAAGCAAAAATGCAGAAGGCATTTTTATAAATGTCTTAAGCCTTGTATTTTTTTAAATAAGTTTTATTAATAAAGGCATAGAACCAGTTTATTTGTAGTGCACTGACAGTAGTTTTATATATTAGTTTATTAATTAAATTATTAAAAAGACGAAAAGACCTTGAGATATGTTTGGTAATTGTACCTGAATGAATTTAAAATTAATTTGCTATTTCAGATCAAGATATTTGTTTTCCTTCATTTTAATTAACTAACTTTATTCTCATCTGAATTATAAATAATTGATTTCCGTATAAAATAATACTACCATAAAAACTTTTGTTAACAGGTGTAGGTTACAGTTTGACAAGAGTTTAGAGTGTGACAAAAGCACAATGTTGTGTTTTATTGCGAGTGTACACAAATATAAGTAAACAATTTGCAGTTTAATGATGTCCTGTATGAAAAAAATGACGGAGTATGTTTTTACGTTTCCACTGTTCGATCGCCCGTGCCTCTCTCACACACACACACACACACACACACACACACACACACACACACACACACACACACACACACACACACACACACACACACACACACACACACACACTGTTCATCGCGCGATTCGCGCCCGCGCCTCTCTCTCTCTCTCGCACGCGCGCGCACACACACACACTGTTCATCGCGCGATTCGCGCCCGCGCATCTCTCTCTCGCGCGCGCGAACACACACACACACACCGCGCCTCTCTCTCTCGCACGCGCGCGCACACACACACACACACACACTGTTCGATCGCGCCTCTCTCTCTCGCACACACACACACTGTTCATCGCGCCTCTCTCTCTCTCTCTCTCTCGCGCACACAGACACACACACACACTCCTGCATTGCAATCTTGATCGCAGCCTGTTCATTGCTGCGTTCACAGTCACACCAAAAGCGAATAGAGCGAAATTCATCGCTATTTAAGAGGTTTTTTTTATTTGTACCGTGTATTCTGCGTGCAAATTCGTGCACCGAACCGTGACGCCCGTACCGTTTCGGTTCAATACGAATACATGTACCGTTCCACCCCTAGTGAGAAGGCATTGCGATGACGTGCTGCTTTGGCTCGGCAGTGTTTGATTTGATTGCATTGCATGTCTGCTCACCTTCCACGTGCCTTCTGACTAATAATCACATTTGATTTGGGTTGAAGTCTGTTAAAAATTTCCCTTCGAAAAATATATGCATTGTTTTTACATTCAACATCTCGGTTATTGCAGAAATCGCTGCGTCATGCCGCGACGCCCTCTGACGCGCTCCCATAATGCAGCACGTAATAGTCGTGGACGTACATCAGAACGGCGATCGGCTGGCCGATGATCAGCGACATCCAGACGGCTGCGTTCCCATAGTTTCCCCTCAAGAATCGGCCCACGATATAGGCGAGTGGGATCTGGAACAGGAAGTAGAACGTGAAATGAGGAACGGCTCCATTTTTTTTAATGTTCATTATAAAACTTGATTTTCTATAGTGCCTTTAAAGGAGGTTACGGTTTGGGATATATGTGGTGTTAAAAGCGGAGATACAGGTGAAACTCGAAAAATTAGAATATCGTGCAAAAGTTACAATTTTGATGATTATGTCTTACAACTTATGAAAACTCCAAATTCAAAATCTCAGAAAATTAGAATATAACATGAAATTAATAAAAAAAAGGTTTTTAAATACAGAAATGTCGGCCCTATGAAAAGTTTAATCATGCATATGTATATAGTTACATATACTAAATATATTAGTTTCACCTTTTAATTTGAATTACTGAAATACATGAACTTTTGCACGATATTCTGATTTTTCGAGTTTCAGCTGTAAATACTCCGGAGCCAGTGTGTGAAGTGCTTTGTATGCGAGCATAAGAAGTTTAAAATCAACTCTAAATTTAACCGGTAGTAAGAAAAGAAAAAACTAAGAAAATTATAAACCATCCATGATTTTATCTCAGAAATAAATTTAGTGAGCAATGAGACAGCCTCACTTTGACTGTGTTTACAATGAATGTAGATCTGTGTTTCATCAGCATAAAAATACTTGATATACTTAATAACTAGAGTTTGGGAGTAAGTGGGAATAAGTATAAAGTAAAAGGGTCCTAAGATTGAGCCCTGAGGGATGCCAGTAGATACTGGTCCAATATCAGACCTGTTTTCCCCTAAAGCAACAAACTGTCTGCGTTTGGTCAAATAAGATCTAAATAGATCTAAAACAGTGCCAAAGGTACCAAACACAGTTTCAAGGTGATTGAGTTAAAGATGAGTTTAACAAGCATTATGTGGTATTTAAGACTGACCTGTGACATCATACCCAGGAACGCCCAGAGCCGAAACATCTTTAGAGGAACGCTCACTAAATACTGGTAAAATTAAACAAAATATTGTCAGGACTATTAATACACAGGAAAAAACATTACTGTAAACTATAAAGAAGCAATACAAGTGTGCAGTGAAACCTCGTGGAAAAATGCAGAGAGGAAGAACACGGCGATCTGAGCCGGTAGCTTATTTACGCCTTTCACCAACATGGGCTTATAAAAGTGTCTGAAGGGAAACAGAGAATGAGAAATCAATGAACAGATACCACTAACTTTCCTCAGAACTGATTTTTGTCGTGATATACACTCACCTAAAAGATTATTAGGAACACCTGTTCAATTTCTCATTAATGCAATTATCTAATCAACCAATCACATGGCAGTTGCTTCAATGCATTTAGGGGTGTGGTCCTGGTCAAGACAATCTCCTGAACTCCAAACTGAATGTCAGAATGGGAAAGAAAGGTGATTTAAGCCATTTTGAGCGTGGCATGGTTGTTGGTGCCAGACGGGCCGGTCTGAGTATTTCACAATCTGCTCAGTTACTGGGATTTTCACGCACAACCATTTCTAGGGTTTACAAAGAATGGCGTGAAAAGGGAAAAACATCCAGTATGCGGCAGTCCTGTGGGCGAAAATGCCTTGTTGATGCTAGAGGTCAGAGGAGAATGGGCCGACTGATTCAAGCGAATAGAAGAGCAACTTTGACTGAAATAACCACTCGTTACAACCGAGGTATGCAGCAAAGCATTTGTGAAGCCACAACACGCACAACCTTGAGGCGGATGGGCTACAACAGCAGAAGACCCCACCGGGTACCACTCATCTCCACTACAAATAGGAAAAAGAGGCTACAATTTGCAAGAGCTCCCCAAAATTGGACAGTTGAAGACTGGAAAAATGTTGCCTGGTCTGATGAGTCTCGATTTCTGTTGAGACATTCAGATGGTAGAGTCAGAATTTGGCGTAAACAGAATGAGAACATGGATCCATCATGCCTTGTTACCACTGTGCAGGCTGGTGGTGGTGGTGTAATGGTGTGGGGGATGTTTTCTTGGCACACTTTAGGCCCCTTAGTGCCAATTGGGCATCGTTTAAATGCCACGGCCTACCTGAGCATTGTTTCTGACCATGTCCATCCCTTTATGGCCACCATGTACCCATCCTCTGATGGCTACTTCCAGCAGGATAATGCACCATGTCACAAAGCTCGAATCATTTCAAATTGGTTTCTTGAACATGACAATGAGTTCACTGTACTAAAATGGCCCCCACAGTCACCAGATCTCAACCCAATAGCATCTTTGGGATGTGGTGGAACGGGAGCTTCGTGCCCTGGATGTGCATCCCACAAATCTCCATCAACTGCAAGATGCTATCCTATCAATATGGGCCAACATTTCTAAAGAATGCTTTCAGCACCTTGTTGAATCAATGCCACGTAGAATTAAGGCAGTTCTGAAGGCGAAAGGGGGTCAAACACAGTATTAGTATGGTGTTCCTAATAATCCTTTAGGTGAGTGTAAATGAAAGGGGCAGCAAAAAAACGCCTCTGGTGCACAAATAACAGAAAAATCCAATCATATTCATAATCCCGTCTCACCGTAGGCACCACTTGTGAACAGGAATGTTCCAATTCGACCAAAAGTAGGGGATCGTTTCAGAGTTCCTGCGAATATAAAGCTCAGCATTCACAAAATGTGAAAACTTTCTGTGAAATGGCATCTGCAAGCTATTTTACTTCTGTAATGTGATGCATCCAAGCATTCAATGATAATACCAGTAACACTAAAAGTAATGCAAGCCCTTTCATAATAAAGATAACTATTACGATAACTACATTAGCATCTACACAAGCAGACGATATTGTTCTGTTTATTCTAATCGCATGCTGAAGTTTTTTCATCTGCCGCTTTAAATGCTTGAGCTCTTTAAAGTAGGATGGATGCTGATTGGCTGTTAGTATTTTTATCCTTAATCAGCTAGAAAAAAAAAATTCTGAAAGTGATTCCAACAATATCGTTACAGTTACTTGCAATTCTCATAGAAGGGTTATTTAACATTATAGGTATCGGTATCAAATTTGGTGTGAACAAGCCTTAACTTAAATGAGTTTTGATGTAAATTTAAAACATACTGAAGTATGATTAGAGTAAACCAGCTCTGGGTGGAGGAAGCCACTCACCACCAGTCTCGGTAAAACTCGCGATCTCCGAACTGCATGAGCTCAGCTATGAAGTTCATAGAGGAGTGGAAATACCAATAGAAAAAGATGAGCCAGATAAAATGATTGGGCACCTGTAGAGGGACAGGGAGAAGGGGCGGGGCTTGTGCCATTAGACACTCTGAGGAGGAGGGGCCACAAACATGACATCAACAATAGCAACAGCAGCCGTTGTCGTGCAAAATTCAAGCCGCTTGGAATTCTCGATTCTGATTGGTCAATTGTGGCAAATATTTGTGTATAATAATGCCAAACTGTATATATATAGCACCTGCAAAAGCACTAGCAACAGAAGTCATAGCAACAGCATCCATGACATCAACAGCATCTGTCTGTGTTTGCGTCTGTTTCTCGCCACACTTACAGCAAGTTTCAGCAGACGTTCAACTATTCTAGTGAAATCCATGTCCTGTTAAAAGAGAAAGATACTCATTATTAATAAGTAGATAAAAATTATTAATAGATAAAGACTACATGCTAAAGAGTGATAACTGATATTAATATGCATTTATGTATCTGCTACAGTATACTGTTATTAATATCTCATTGATTTACATTACAAGCTACTGTATCATAATTTCATCTTACTTTTTGGCCATATAAGTATCAGCATCTGCTCCAAAATGCACATTTTTGCTCAAGTGTTTGTGAGTATAAAGTGTTTGTGAGTATGGGCTCCATATTCTCGCTATATGCAAGTATCTCAAACTCTTTTTTTTTCTGATTTTTTCTTTTATATTTTGTCTAATGGTTCAATAAACTGTTACATTTTTAAAAAAATGACATGTTGAAACATTAAATTCAGTTCTACCTGAAAGGGTTTCATTGAGTTCTGAATCGTCGGAACCATCCACTATCAGAAAACAAAAAAGAGTCATTAAAAACATCACGTCATTTATACAAATCACCTTGATTTTCTAACGAATTCTTTGCATACCTGCTGTATTAATCCAACCATTAGCTGCATTAAAAACAGCTGCAAGAAAGAAGGAAACATGCATTCAGTTCAAGAGGTTCTCCGGTTTGCTTCTGCTCTCATGAACTGTATCTCACCATCTCAAGAAGTCGGCGCAGTAAGAAGCGTTTCCGTATCCGTGGAGACCGCGGGAAATTCAGCTCGTAACACAGAGTTGGGACGAAAATGAAATAATAAATGTCTGTAAACAAATAAACAATGTCCATTTTCATTACAAATGTTGATACAGATGTTTCTGCCATGGAATAAAAAATAAAAAAGCTAACTGTGATCTCACAATTCGCCTTTGGCTAAGCCCCGCCCCGCCCCCCTTAGTTACTGTTGCTACGTCCGACAAACAAACTTCATCTGGGCTCTGGTATCAACATGGCTTATGCTGTGACAGCTCTTCCTGCTGAAATTTTATCAAACTTTTATAAAGCAGCAAATAAAGTGTCCGATAGAAGTAGGCAAAAGCGGCTGCACTATACGTTCGAAGGCTATATTCACGACATACAGGTGAAACACAAGCAACAACAAGGCATCCAAACAGAGGCAAAAGCACACCGGTCACAGTCAAAAAATGACCCAGCGCATATCCTACTAATGGAGACGGAGCTGGGACTAACAATATCTGTTCATGCAAAGCTGGAGGTCTCTATTCACTTCTATAATCGTTATTACAAAGCAAACGGCGTGTGCTAGACGACACTTGTCAGGATTTGACTTCGGTTTGGGAAGGGAAAAAAACGCACACCCCCCTCCAACCTCTCTGGGAAACGCGTATCTGTGTTACAAATGCCCCAGGCACAACGTTTAACCATATTTTAGATAAAACTACGACGGTAATAGCCGGCCGAGACCAAAAATATGAGACGCCTGTGTTAAAGTCAATGGAGCGCTGTGAAAAAGTGTCGGACCTCTGTGGGTGCTCGTTCTTGGCTGCGCTGTGATTGGTCAATCTACATTCTAGGGCGTGGCTTAGCCAAAGGCGAATTGTGACTTTTTTTCTCTCGCAATTTCAAGTTAATGTGGAGCCCGGCACATGACATGCGAACTTAAATATATATATCAAATTAGTTCTCTTGTTTTATTAAATCGTGACCATGTTTTACTAATTCGTTTCCTCGTTTTAAGTAAATTGTGTGTATGATATAATTATTTGTCTCGTTTTAATAAACCATGGCCACGTTGTACATTTAACTAAAACAGGGGAATGAATTTTGCCACAGTTTAGTAAAACGAGCTGACATATTAGTAAATCGTGGGAATGAATTGTTAATTCGTGGCCAGGATACATATATTTCCCTGCATGCCATATGTGGGGCTCTGTAAGTTTATATCTCACAATTCAGACTTGAGATAAGTATAAACTCTCAATTGCCTTGTTTCCATAACTGAGTTATTAAACTGTCCATCGGGTTCAGTTCATGTAATGACTGAAGAGACTGACCTCTGTGCGTGAGGTTAGCCGGATAGCTCACGTGTGTGTATCCGGTTGTGCCGTTGGCTTTGTGCACAGACGGGCCTACAGGAGAAAGTTGAACATTAACACACACACACACAATATGTTCAGATATTCAACATTTGAAGGTTAGTTTGAGGTTTTGCTGAAACTTCAATGCAAATCCAAAAAAGGCATTCATATGAATAGTGATAAATTCATTGCTAAAGCCAATGTTAACTCTAATGCATTCTATACTTGCATTGCATTAGGATTCATGCATTGACACATTTCTATTGCGTATCTAGAAGCGTTTGCATTCATGCATAGTGTGTTTCAGTATAACCTGCCACTGATTTTTAAATTTTGCAAACTATAATGCAAATCAAAACAATACATTCATACAGAGAGTGATAAATTCAGACAGATAAATTCCCTGCTGTTAACTCTATTGCATGCTATATTTGCATTGCATTAGGATTCATTCAATGACACACTTCTGAACACAGCAGTTGCGTATCTAGAAGCGTTTGCAGTCATGCATAGAGTTTGTTTCAGGAAGCATGTGCTTGCTGTCAGCTGTGTGATCTGATGGAGATGTCTGTGTGTGTGTGTGTGTGTGTGTGTGTGTGTGTGCGCTGTGAACTGTTGTTGGACTCACAGGAGTGAGAGCGAGACAGGGTTCGGGCTTTGGCGTGTCTGATTTCTCGGCACCATTTGTTGACGTCTCTGTAGGAGTAAAGCTTCAGGAAGAGAACGGTGAAGACGCCCAACGCCACAACACCACCCACTGCAAAACACACACAGTGAACAACACAAACATGCAAGAGTGGAGAATTTACACGCAAGAAGACATAATACAAAACATAGTAAATAGTTGCTAAATGTAGTGATAGATTGTGGTCAGTAATGATGATTACTGTCAGATCGATATATTTCAACCATGCCGACTAATCAGTCAATTAAGAACAATATCCATGACTCATTTTCTGTCATTAAATTGAACAATATACATCTTGAAATTGCACACAGGTGAAACTCGAAAAATTAAAATATGGTGCAAAAGTTAATTTATTTCAGTAATTCAACTTAAAAGGTGAAACTAATATATTATAAAGAAAGACTCATTACATGCAAAGTGAGATATTTCAAGCCTTTATTTGTTATAATTTTGATGATTATGACTTACAGCTGAAAACCTTTTCACAATATTCAAATTTTTAATTTGGGTTTTTCATAAGCTCTAAGTCATAATCATCACAATTATAACAAATAAAGGCTTGAAATATCTCAGTTTGCATGTAATGAGTCTATATAATATTTTAGTTTCAACTTTTAAGTTGAATTACTGAAATAAATGAACTTTTGCACCATATTTTAATTTTTCGAGTTTCACCTGTAAATAATGAAAATCAAATTAAAGACAAAGGAAACAAATTACTTACATCAAAAAGCATCGTTTTCTAGTTAAAAACAACAGTGTCCCTATAAGACTGCAGGTTTAAAGATGTCCCTGTGATTATAGGTGTTATAAATAAAGGTGTTAGTGTGAACGTGCACATGGACGGCGTTTGAGATACCCGGGGTCATGGAGGTCACGCGGAGAACGGTGACGGCTGGGAAGAACAACAGTGCTGCAAGATTGAGGGAATGAAGGAATGTTCCGGTGCCCTCTGAGATCGAGCCCTAAACGTTCAATTACATGACTTTATTCAAATGAATCGGCAAATGAACTTTGACTTTCAATAAACAATAAAAAAAAATTGCAGGTGAATCTCATGAAGAAATTTCCAGGTCATATATACATATAATCACACACATATATTACGTATATTATATTATAATTATTATAAATGTATAAATAAATAAATGTGAAAAATGATATGTGAATGTTGTGAAAAAATCCCATTCTCATAACTGTAATGCAAAAAAAAAAGATTACAAAAATTGTAATATTTGTTATTTGTTGTGTACACAGTAAAAATTAAGATGTAAATAAAACAAAGATTAGTGGAGTACATTTCACAAGAAAATAATATTTTAGTCATATATACGTACGTGTGTAAGTGTGTGCTGTGTATATGTATGTACTGTGTGTGTGTGTGCTGTGTATATGTATGTACTGTGTGTGTGTGTGTGTGTCTGTCTTTGTGTGTGTGTGTGTGTGTGTACTGTGTATATGTATGTACTGTGTGTGTGTCTGTGTGTGTGTCTCTGTGTGTGTGTCTATGTGTGTGTGTTTGTGTGTGTATATGCATGTATGTGTGTGTGTGTGTGTGTGTGTGTGTGTGTGTGTGTATGTGTGTACTGTGTATATGCATGTACTGTGTGTCTGTGTGTGTGTGTATATGTGTGTGTATATGTATGTACTGTGTGTGTGTGTGTGTGTGTACTGTGTATATGTATGTACTGTGTGTGTGTGTGTGTGTGTGTGTGTGTACTGTGTTTATGTATGTACTGTGTGTTGTGTACTGTGTGTCTGTGTGTGTGTGTGTATGTGCTGTGTATATGTATGTACTCTGTGTGTGTGTGTGTGTGTGTGTGTGTGTGTGTGTGTGTGTGTACTGTGTACTGTGTACATGTATTTACTGTGTGTGTGTGTGTGTGTGTGTGTGTGTGTGTGTGTGTGTGTGTGTGTGTGTGTGTGTGTGTGTGTGTGTGTGTGTGTGTGTGTGTGTGTGTGTGTGTGTGTGACAGCATGTGACCTGGACATGTTGTCAGGTTTGTGTGATTGGTTATAATTGTAAGCCTCTCAGTAATGTCCCATGTCTGTAATCACACAGTTCATTCCCAGCATGCAACTCACCACGGATAGCTTTCTCTCTGTGTACAAAGCTGCCATTATAAACACGTTGGAAGCTGAAAAAGCAAACAGATTAGACACGGCATATTGAACTGAGCATGCATGAAAAATTGACGTGAATTTTTATGATACAACATTATGCATGACAGAAAGCATAAATGTGGTGTGACATGATGTCTTCAGCACGTCTCAGCTGATGGTCCCTAAGCAACACAACACACACACACACACACACAATCATCATACCAATGATCAGGCACAGCGCCGGCCAGCTGTAGGGGTCTATCAAGAAGAGAGAGATAATCTGGATGGGATCCACCAGAATGCCATATCTGAAGACAGGAGGGCAAATGTAGCGCGTTAGATGAAAATTACTGTCAGTTTTTCATCGTATTGTATCACGTATGCTGCATTATGTATATGTAAAATTCATGTAAGCATTAATCAACTAAAGTAATTCATACAGTGCTGTCATAAAAAAAAAAAACTTGATTGTATTGCTGGTGTTTGTTAGGAAAAGCATTACTTTTGCTGTTACTAATGCTGGTGTTTTGAATAAATGCTTCATATAATTATTGTATTTATAATTGTGTATATACATATATATATATATATATATATAGTGGTCGACTGATGCATCGCCATGGCCGATATCTCGCATTCAGCATTTTTTTATTCAGCATATTTTTAACGATTTCTTTATTTCTGAAAAATACTATAATAGGTTACATAATTTAAAAAGTTGCAAACTAAAGTATAAATCTGTTTATTTTACAGATTTATTTTTTAGCAATTTTTTTTATATTGATTATTTTAATTCAGTAAATATTATGTAAAATATATTTAAACTTAATTTCAGCAATTGTTATGAATGTGTTTTTACTATCGTTAAATTAAATAGTGTGATATCATATATATCATATTTATAAATATAATATTAAAGCTCTAATAAGATAATAAATTATAATAAGCTTTAATTTATTGAAAAAACTGTTTTTTTTTTACTGTACTGTAATTCGCTACTGATGTTTGTTAGGGAAAGTGTCAAAATGCCTTTTGCTGGTTAGTGATTTGAACAAATCTTTCTATAGTGAGACTGGGCGGAACAATCCCAGAAGCCAAAGCTCATGTTTCCAACACCTGGTGGAAGCGACCAATAAACCGGAGAGTTTCCATTTCTCCAGAGGACGGGCGCTGCGATTACGCTACTATATTCTGCTCTGGATGAAAGTGTTTGCTTAATGACAAGAAACAAAAGACATGCATTTAGTTCCCGCCGGGCATAGTCATTATCTGTCTTATTCAGATGTTTCAGCTGGATCATTAGCCCGAAATTAGAGAGTCACTGAGCATGAGAAATCAAATTACCATAGCGACTTATTATGAATTAAACAACAAATGATGTTAATGATATACTTACTTTATAAGGTTCTCCAGGACCAGCCGTGCATTGGACAAAACCTGCAAACAGAAACAAATAAAGCAATTTAATGCATTTAAACGCGGTTCATTTGTGTCAAACCCCTGCAGGCAAAACAAGAGTTACACTTCTTTTAAAAGAACTGGATGGGATCTGAGGTTTAACACTGAAAATAAGATGATTCAGATGGGTTTGCCACATCCTTGTCTATTTTATGTGTTCGTTTTTATATAGAAAATGTAATTTGTTTGCAATGAAACCTTGTTTCTTATCTCACAATTCAAACTTTATAACTCACAATTGTGTGTTTATCCCTCACAATTCTGAGGGGAAAAAAGTAATAATTGTGAGAAATAAATTCGGAATTGCAACAAAAAAAATTAGAATTGCAAGTTCTAAACTCTGAATTGCGAGAAAAAGTCATAATTGTGAGTTATAAACTCTGAATTGCGAGAAAAAAGTCATAATTGTGAGTTATAAACTCAGAATTGCGAGAAAAAAGTCATAATTGTGAGTTATAAACTTGGAATTGCGAGAAAAAAGTAATAATTGTGAGTTATAAACTCGGAATTGCGAGAAAAAAGTCATAATTGTGAGTTATAAACTCGGAATTGTGAGAAAAAAGTAATAATTGTGAGTTACAGACTCGGATTTGCGAGAAAGAAAGTCAATTGTGAGTTATAGACTCGGAATTGCGAGAAAAAGTCATAATTGTGAGTTATAAACTCGGAATTGTGAGAAAAAAGTCATAATTGTGAGTTATAAACTCAGAATTGCGAGAAAAAAGTCATAATTGTGAGTTATAAACTTGGAATTGCGAGAAAAAAGTAATAATTGTGAGTTATAAACTCGGAATTGCGAGAAAAAAGTCATAATTGTGAGTTATAAACTCGGAATTGCGAGAAAAAAGTAATAATTGTGAGTTATAAACTCGGAATTGTGAGAAAAAAGTAATAATTGTGAGTTATAGACTCGGAATGCGAGAAAGAAAGTCAATTGTGAGTTATAGACTCGGAATTGCGAGAAAAAAGTAATAATTGTGAATTATAAACTCGGATTTGCGAGAAAAAAAGTAATAATTGTGAGTTATAAACTCGGATTTGCGAGAAAAAAGTCATAATTGTGAATTATAAACTCGGAATTGCGAGAAAAAAAGTAATAATTGTGAGTTATAAACTCGGATTTGTGAGAAAAAAGTCATAATTGTAAGTTATAGACTCGGAATTGTGAGAAAAAAGTCATAATTGTGAGTTATAAACTCGGAATTGCGAGAAAAAGTCATAATTGTGAGTTATAAACTCGGAATTGTGAGAAAAAAGTCATAATTTTGAGTTATAAACTCAGAATTGCGAGAGAAAAAAGTCATAATTGTGAGTTATAAACTTGGAATTGCGAGAAAAAAGTAATAATTGTAAGTTATAAACTCGGAATTGCGAGAAAAAAGTCATAATTGTGAGTTATAAACTCGGAATTGCGAGAAAAAAGTCATAATTGTGAGTTATAAACTCGGAATTGTGAGAAAAAAGTAATAATTGTGAGTTATAGACTCGGATTTGCGAGAAAGAAAGTCAATTGTGAGTTATAGACTCGGAATTGCGAGAAAAAAGTCAATTGTGAGTTATAAACTCGGATTTGCGAGAAAAAAGTCATAATTGTGAGTTATAAACTCGGAATTGCGAGAAAAAAAGTAATAATTGCTGGTTATAGACTCGGAATTGTGAGAAAAAAGTCATAATTGTAAGTCATAGACTCGTAATTGTGAGAAAAAAGTCATAATTGTGAGTTATAAACTCAGATTTGCGAGAAAAAAGTCATAATTGTGAGTTATAGACTCGGAATTGTGAGAAAAAAGTCATAATTGTGAGTTATAAACTCGGATTTGCGAGAAAAAAGTAATAATTGTGAATTATAAACTCGGATTTGCGAGAAAAAAAGTAATAATTGTGAGTTATAAACTCGGAATTGCGAGAAAAAAAGTAATAATTGCTGGTTATAGACTCGGAATTGTGAGAAAAAAGTAAATTGTGAGTTATAAATTTGTAATTGCGAGAAAAAAGTTAATTGTGAGTTATAAACTCAGATTTGCGAGAAAAAAAGTAATAATTGTGAGTTATAAACTCGGATTTGCGAGAAAAAAGTCATAATTGTGAGTTATAAACTCGGAATTGCGAGAAAAAAAGTAATAATTGCTGGTTATAGACTCGGAATTGTGAGAAAAAAAGTCATAATTGTAAGTCATAGACTCGTAATTGTGAGAAAAAAGTCATAATTGTGAGTTATAAACTCAGATTTGCGAGAAAAAAGTCATAATTGTGAGTTATAGACTCGGAATTGTGAGAAAAAAGTCATAATTGTGAGTTATAAACTCGGATTTGCGAGAAAAAAGTAATAATTGTGAATTATAAACTCGGATTTGCGAGAAAAAAAGTAATAATTGTGAGTTATAAACTCGGAATTGCGAGAAAAAAAGTAATAATTGCTGGTTATAGACTCGGAATTGTGAGAAAAAAGTAAATTGTGAGTTATAAATTTGTAATTGCGAGAAAAAAGTTAATTGTGAGTTATAAACTAGGAATTGCGAGAAAAAAGTCATAATTGTGAGTTATAAACTCGGAATTGCGAGAAAATAGTAAATTATGAGTTATAGACTCGGAATTGCGAGAAAAAAAGTCATAATTGTGAGTTATTAACTCGGAATTGCGAGATAAAGAGATAATTGTGAGTTATAAACTCAGAATTGCGAGAAAAAAGTAAATTGTGAGTTATAAACTCAGAATTGAGAAAAAAAGTCATAATTGTGAGTTATAAACTCGGAATTGCGAGAAAAAAGTCATAATTGTGAGTTATAAACTCGGAATTGCGAGAAAAAAATAATAATTGTGAGTTATAAACTCGGAATTGTGAGAAAAAATTCATAATTGTGAGTTATAAACTCGGATTTGCGAGAAAGAAAGCCATAATTGTGAGTTATAGACTCGGAATTGTGAGGAAAAAAGTCATAATTGTGAGTTATAAACTCGGATTTGCGAGAAAAAAGTCATAATTGTGAGTTATAAACTCGGAATTGCGAGAAAATAGTAAATTATGAGTTATAGACTCAGAATTGCGAGAAAAAAAGTCATAATTTTGAGTTATTAACTCGGAATTGCGAGATAAAGAGATAATTGTGAGTTATAAAATCAGAATTGCGAGAAAAAAGTCAATTGTGAGTTATAAACTCGGAATTGCGAGAAAAAAGTCATAATTGTGAGTTATAAACTCGGATTTGCGAGAAAGAAAGCCATAATTGTGAGTTATAAACTCGGAATTGTGAGGAAAAAATTCATAATTGTGAGTTATAAACTCGGAATTGCGAGAAAAAAAGAATAATTGTGAGTTATAAACTCGGAATTGCGAGAAAGAAAGCCATAATTGTGAGTTATAAACTCGGAATTGTGAGGAAAAAAGTCATAATTGTGAGTTATAAACTCGGATTTGCGAGAAAGAAAGCCATAATTGTGAGTTATAAACTCGGAATTGCGAGAAAAAAGTCATAATTGTGAATTATAAATTTGGATTTGCAAGAAAAAAAGTAATAATTGTGAGTTATAGACTCGGAATTGCGAGAAAAAAAGTCATAATTTTGAGTTATTAACTCGGAATTGTGAGATAAAGAGATAATTGTGAGTTATAAACTCAGAATTGCGAGAAAAAAGTCATAATTGTGAGTTATAAACTCGGAATTGAGAAAAAAATCATAATTGTGAGTTATAGACTCGGAATTGTGAGGAAAAAAGTCATAATTGTGAGTTATAAACTCGGAATTGCGAGAAAAAAGTCATAATTGTGAATTATAGACTGGGATTTGCGAGAAAAAAAAAGTCATAATTGTGAGTTATAAACTCGGATTTGCGAGAAAAAAAGTCATAATTGTGAATTATAAACTTGGATTTGCGAGAAAAAAGTCACAATTGTGAATTATAAATTTGGATTTGCAAGAAAAAAAGTAATAATTGTGAGTTATAAACTCGGAATTGCGAGAAAAAAAGTAATAATTGCTGGTTATAGACTCGGAATTGCGAGAAAAAATTCAGAATTGTTTATTTATATCTTTTTTTTTTGTGGCAGAAACAAGCATCCATAGTATTCTCATCTGAAATGCATTGCTAAAACATTTCTGGTTGGATATTACAACAACAAATGATTTTGTATGTGAATCTACTCTATTCAATATGTTTATCATGTGTTTGTACACAATAAAATGACTCTAAAATAGAAAGATCACATGATTCTCTCCCATGATTATGTTGTATCTACCATAACACTGTTTGTGAAAACGGTCACTAGCAGAGCAAAGTCTGCAGCACAACAACATACACAACCTCAGATAACACACTCCAGTCAGAGAAACACATCTGACCTCTGACCTTTGACCCCAGTCTCCATGTTACAGTTCATGGACCTGCACAGACTATTGAAAATTAACTTGTTTTGAATGTTAAATCAGCTTTTTTTAAACTAAATTCATTGTTTGGTCATTTAATTTATTCAAAGCAAAACAAACCACCCCAAGGCTGTAATTTTAATCAAGACTAAAGGCCTGAGGACTTTGAACCACTTGTAAGCGATGATTCACGACAGAAGACGGTTTGCTGGAAGACTTTCTCATTCCAAAGGCCATTTGATTAGATTTGCGCTGGGAGAGTTGCCAGACTCAACCCTGACCTCGCTCAAAGAGGATTACTAATTGATTTTGCACATAGATCCATGCTAATTGCTTAAAGGCTGTGGGACGTTGGTTTATTTCATGACACACACACACACTTTCATATGCTTGTTGTGTTTATACACACACACACTTTCATATGCTTGTTGTGTTTATACACACATACACACAGACAAACACACACACACACACACACACACACACACAACACTCATATAACGTACACAGACACACACTCACAACACTTATATGCACACACACGCACAAACTTTCATCTGCTTTTTGTGTTTATACACACATACACACACATTTTCATCTGCTTGTTGTGTTTATACA